AGCTGAATTTTACCACTGAAATAGTATGTGGATAGATTTTCTTTTATATCTTTGGAACTTGCAGATTATGCCAATCTGTAAGGTATATATAGTTTGATGTTGTTTTATGAGATTCTGTAGCTTGTGCTATATGGGACGTCATCCTGTAGCTTTTTCTCCTCCTGACCCGTGAATAAGGGGTGAGAGGGAATAAAAATGAGAGTAAGGATTATGACCAGTAAACTCTGAGATGCTAAGAGTTGTTAAGGGGCATTAGGAAGTCAGCCACACTCACGCTTTAGGCATGCACTTTGTATGGAAGACCAGAGTTTACAGGTACATTTATCTGGTAAGATATTACCATATAGGAACTGTATCATTTACCTCTTGATTTGCTTTGGTTCCCTTTGAATTAAATACAACTTTATTAAAAAACAAACAAACAAATAAACAAACAAAAGGATCAATGACTTAAGCAAATATAAGTGATGCGGCAGGCCGTTCAAGAGAAAATAAGAATGAAATTTGGAAGTCAGAACAGTGTCGCAGTGGATGAAGGTAACATAGGGCATGTCTACACCAGCTGCGGAGGAACAAAAGCTGGTCTCGCATGCCAGCTACGTACAAGCGAGCTTCAGCCTGGAAGCTGAATCTGTTGCACTGGCAAGTGTATCCTGCTGTCAGGATAACGTGAAGCTGGACTTGACAAGCTGTGTCCTGTGCCTGCAAAGGGAAGAGTGTCTTTGCTAGCTCAGACTACTTCCTTGCAGTGGCCCAAGCAAGGAGTGAATGCAGAAGCGGTTGTGGTTGGTCCTCAGTCAGCCCCGTAACTACAGAAGACCTGCGTTACAGAGCCAAACCATGTATTTAATATTGGAAATCTTCGTACTTCCTTCCTTTCCTATTTAAGAACTTAGTACACTTAGAGTGCTGAAGGATTGCTCTCATCCCTGAACATATCCTGTTTTGTAACTCTGAGCCAACAAATACCACTTGCATCAACCTCACCTTCAGCAGTATTTGTGAGGCACAGATTTTATTCAGAATCTACGTGGCTACTTAGTGTTTATTACACAATTAAATTGTGACTTATATTGTTAGCTTTATACAGTCATCACCTGAAAACGCACATATACAATTCTTTTTTTTTTTTTTTTTTTTGCTACCAAAATAATTGGAATTGTTCCTCTGAGTGGTATGTGGCTCTCTTTTGTATCCCCATATTACTACCCTACATTGTATTCTGTTACACTATTGTTATCCAGTTGAACTTGATGGAATACATTATGCAAATCTGTGACTGCTTCTTGTGTATCAGCAAGAGAGATCTCTGAAACGTAAGCACTACTGCAGTTACTGATTGAAGTCAGACACAGTCGAGCACTAGCACAGTCTACCCTTTGTGAGAGGAAAGGGTGTTGCGGATAGTATGGAGCCTTAACTGCTAACTTACCCTCCGTAATGCAAAACAGTTAAAATTTGCTGATTCTAATGTTCTAGTCAGTAGTTTCTAGTGACCAAAATAGGTAATATTCTCTGAGAATGGGAAAGTTTGAGAGAGTACTGTAATACCGTAGACAGCAGTGCTGAGGTGGGAGAACATAAACTAATGGAATGTCAAAGAGACAGTCCAAGACTTCGGGGAAGACGGTATGTTTGAGAAGCAAGGAAAACCATACCACACCAGCTTGACCCTGTGTTCTGTTTGCTATTGCTGGACAGGGATAAAAAGTAAGAATGGATGCCATTAGGCAGAGATTCATATAACTGCAAAGCCGGAGAATGGGAGTCAGAGGAGAGATGGCAGCCAATCCTCCATGGGACTGCAGCAAAGGAAAAAAGAGTTACCATGGGAAAATGGGAGAGGCAAGGCCAGGGTTGTGCAATGCACTAGTGCTGAAATAATCATGGGTTAGGACAGGCCTACTGGATTTCAGCTGAAGAGTGCCTCGAGGAAGAAGACAGGGCGCAGAACACGTGCACAGCTGAGCTTGCCCGAAATGCCGTTTGAGCTGTCTGTGGGGGCCGTCGCTGGGGGTCTCTGGTGATGGGGAAAACGGATCTGTGCTTTTCATTCACAGGCAGGCAAATCACAATTCTTCTGTTTATCATTCTTCACCCAAGCTGACATGCTTGGTGTTGTTTGTGTGAGAACCTTGCAGTTAGGGATGTGATTACTGGATGTGTTTACAAGCCACAGCTTCCTTTGATATTAGGTGAACACAGCTCCCAGTTGAGCCATGAGCCTATTGAGCTATGGCTTATTATTCATCACGTGCTGCCATAGCCAGGCACTTCAGGTGCTGCTGTCTTTGCCAGATATTCAAGTAATGTTGGAATTCTCTGATCTGACTAGGAAAAGTAAAACCTGTGCTGTAGCACACCAGTGTTTAGACTGGATTGTAATCAAATAGTCTGTCACAGCCTTGCCGCTGCTACCTTAGCTGATATCATGGTGAGATAATTTGCAGAGGAGTTAGTTCTTCATCATGCACCTCCATACAGACCTATGCCAATTATGTGGGGTGTGAAATTGCATCCCAGTATTGAAGTCTGTATGTATTCCCCAACCTGGAATGGTGATGAGACTTGGATATGTCCTTTTCTGCTCCCCTACAGTGATCTAAGTTCCGTCTACTCTGTTGTACCTCGAGGACAACCAGAAGTCTGGGCTGTATCATTGACACCACATCAGCCTTGCAGCCTAGGCTGCCACAGATTTAGTGCTATGAAGGCATCACTTTTGTCTTACAGCTGAACTGTTGTATGCTCCACTTCTGTTCTTACACATTCTTTCTATCCCGTATGCATTTATCCCATTTTTATCCCATATGCATCCTGTCCTTATACACCACATCCCTACAGATAGGAAAGAGACGGCACAATCATATATGCATGGCAAAAACACTGGACTGAGTTTAGGACTCAAGTAGAACAAAACACTCCTGGAGCAGAAAGCAAGGAAAGGAAGAGATTTGTGATTTCCAGGGTCTAGCTCTCCTCCTCCCGTCTGAGGCAAACCTGCAGTCTCGAGGCCACTGAGAATTCCATTCTCCATGGGCTTCTGGAGATTAAAAGTTCCCCATATCAAAAAAGGTTGTTTCTGTCTCATGTGATGATAAAGTCTGAGATGACGTGAAGAATTAATTCAGGATTCTAAAAAGAAGAAAAAAAAAAAAGACAATTTGAGATCCTTGCTACTGGTTTGGGGGTGATTTCTCAGCTACCATGTACACTGAAAAGATGATGAAAAGCCCCTAAATACAGGATCATGTTGTATTGAAAATTAGTTGGATGTATACTCCTTAGGGCTTGTTTGTCATTTGCTTTTTTATTTATTGTAGGACGCTAGTTAGGCCCTAGCCAGCATGGATTACAAAAGAATAACCTTTGGTTTGTTAACAGCTTCAACTATTTTGCAGAAATACAAGCTACAGGTTGTATGACTCGAGTAGGGCATATTCCTAAGACATTTTTAGGGAGGGTGTACTTCATGATGAGTTTGTTCATTACTCAGCTTGAAGTCCTTTTAACTTTTCCAGGACAGCATGTCTTGTTTTCTGAGGTTTTACAAAATAGGAAGTATGGTGCCAGAATTTATGATTACGAAACTCTAAATTGTATGTCAAAGCAAAGATGGAGGTGACAATGTTGAAAAGGGATAAACACTTAGAAATCAGTTGGCAAGGCTGCAGCTAAACCATACTCATATGCATACACCAAACAAAATGTAGGACAATTTTCAGTATCCTATAAATGTGTTCTCAGTCTGAACCCTTCAGAGCTGTCTTAGGTAATGAATAAGGTGTTGTGTTCAGCAAACAAATTTGTTGCAAATTCTTTTCCTCCCAGCTCATTAACTACTGTCAACAATTGCAACAAGTTTGGTGAATTTAACCTACCTAAGTGGTTAGCCAAAAATAGTGGGAGCAGGGGAGCTGGTATGATACACTCGATGCCCTGTGTGGGTCAGGTACCGTCATTTGCAACAGTCATCGAGTCTGCTGTGCCAAAAAGGTTCCTAGGCTTGTGACAAAAGGTTGCTGAAATCTGTCTCCCTTGCTCTTACTTTAGGGGGGTTGGTCCGCTTGGCTCACTGGGCAGCTGTAGCACCAAGGGGACCCTCCGCACTCCGACCGCAGGTAGCACCTTTTGTTTGCTTGTTTTGCTCAGTGTTTATCAGTAAGGTAGCCTATGCATAAGCACAAACTTCTCAAGAGCATGCAAATCCTATTGGGATGTAAATTAAGTGCTTGTGAAGAAGAATTGTTTTTTTGTTTTTTTGTTTTTTTTTCTGTTTGTGCAGTTATCTATTTCCAGGCACACTAGAGAAGGCTTACCGGGCCTTCGGAATCTCATTTCACAATGAAGTAATGTTCATGAGAAAAGGACAAAACTCTTTGGCATTCACATTGCACCACTTTCTGTAGAAACTACTTCCTTGAGCACAAACCACTGCTTGTGCTTAATGTGTAATGACATGAATTGCCCCTGCTGGGTAGATGTTATAAACAGCTCCAAGGTCCCATGGCACGTTCAGTTATGCGAAGCTTGCCGGGTCACCACAGAATCAAAACAGTTGAGGGTGGTTCTAATTTTAAAATTTGATTGGTGGTCTCAATAATATCACGATCAAGCTAAATACCTTTTGGGGAAAGTTGTCGAAATCATTCTTGCCCTGAGTTTATATTCCCTCACAAAGTGACAGTTTCTGAATTTAGGTTCCCAGAACCTATCTGAGGCCATAACCAGCCCACTGTGGATGTAGAGAAACCAGCCTCATTGCTTTCTTTCTGCTTCCACAGAGTGTTAGACTCTATCCCTAGGAAAAAGGAATCAGTCCTGAATATTTGGGGGCCTCGGGCCAGGATCTCAAATAACCTCAGGCTGACTTGCGTTTGCATTTCTACCCACGCGCATGCGCGTATGCGCGGACACAGAGGCTTCTACTTAGATGCTTGTCATTCTTCTGCAGTTTATTGCAGTAGGCTGTAGATGATGCTGACTCTCTGAGGCCTAAAGAATGTCTTAGCAACACGCATTCCCTCCCAGACAGCCAGAGTGGGCCTTCACAAGAATGTAAGCGGACCTCCCCTGCCCCTTTATCTTCCAAAGAATACACAATGTCTGTACTGGAGATAACTCACCCAATTAGGCAGAGTTTGCCTTTTATAAAAGGAGTGATTACATTTGCAAAACTTGGTAGTTTCTTTTAAGACCATGAGTGTATATGCTGTTTGATATTTTGACAAAATATTGATCCGTAACAAGTGCTTGTGACAGTATTATTTGACGCAGTTTAAGATGCCTTTTACTGGCTTTTGTTGCCAGAAACAGCTGCCCACTGCAGCAAGTAGGCCGAAGGCATTTGTTTTAATTTTAAAATAAAAAAGGAGGAAAGAAAGAAAGGAAAAGTATTGACCGTAGTTGTAGGAGTAAAGCTCTGTGCTATTCAGTAATAACTGTTTATGAAAGATTTCTTCTGTTTACTAAAACAAACGTTACGTATCATGGAGTTAGAGCTAACTGTTTGGTTCCACCGTACAAAAAATGAGTAGGTGTCCTGGAAAACAACTCTATGCCAATGTCCAGACTGGAGCAAATGAACTCAAAAAAATGTGTGTAGGCCACATGGTCATCTGAGGACTTGTTCTTATTTTTCTTAGTCCTTCTATGTTGCTCTCTTGTCTGTATCATGATAAATTGTTCTGTCAGCAGGATGAAATTTTCTGAACAGCTGATTTAATCGTGCATTTATTAGATTCCATTTGCTTCTTGAAGACTGAAGAATTAAGAAATCATGGTGCTAAGCACAGCAGGAGAGCCTAAATGGATAAATAGGGGGGAAAGAGAGGCAAAGGGGAAGAGAGGTATTCCAGTCTGTTCCCTGCAAAAACCTTACCTCGGCAGTCGGAACATATCCAACGCTGTAACACATTGAAAGGTCCATTAGGACATCTGCAGATTTGCATACTTGACTGTGGTGAGGTAGAGCAGTTTGTTTCTGCAGCTGCACAGTTACTATATTGCTGGGAATAACCTTTGGTGTCACCCTAGCTGTCATTGTCTCACGGGGCTGGCAGCGTCTGTCCTCTTTCTTTTATTAACACACTTATCAAACTTATTACTTATTTCCCTTGACTGAGATTGCCTGTGCCTTAAAAAAATACATGAAGGAGGGGTAAAAAGAAGTAGAGAAAATGCTCAGTGATGTTCCTCAGCGTGCTATTTAGGGACCCTGAATAGGGATACAGGGACCCGGCAGTGTCATATACTAAATTGTGGCTTCTGTTGTACTACTCATATTCTGCTGCTCTACTGCATTGTCAAATAAGAGCCAAGTCTTACCTAGCAGTAATTTGTTCTGCGTTCAGACACAGCTCCATTGTTAAATTAAATTTGATAGGAGCAAATACAATATGGATATCAGGTATTTGTTCTGATCATTAGTGTTTTGTATTGCCTCGCTAGACAGCCTGTAAGATCATTCACTGGTTTTGCTGCTTCGTGACAGAAACAACGCAACTTCTAATAGCAAACCCCATATTAAAAAGCATGTTGAGGAAATAAATACAAGCGTGCCGACACTAAAGCAAACAGCAGGCTGCAGTAAACCACCACGGCAGTTATGCGAAACAGTTTGTAATTCAGCACACTGTCTCTCCAAGTTGGGAAGTTAATTTTACCACAAATACTTTAGAAAATGCCAAACAGTAACTTTTGATTTCAGTAGCAAGTGGCTGAATAACAACCCAGCTATCACCCAGGATGGACATCCAAGTAAGAATTAAAGTGCTCATGGAACAGTATTGCTGCTCTCAATCTTTTATTTTTTCACTGGCTGCAACCTGCAATGTTACTAGAGGCTCTTGGAAGAGATTAGGGTGTATCAGCCTTTACCTACTGGGGCACTGCCTGGCTCCCAGGTCATCCAGGTCAGGCACTTGCCTGTGCATACTGTTTCTTCCATCGTCTTGCACGTCTGGAGAGTTGGTTGGTTTGTTTTGCACAGAGGTCACACCACAGAATACATAAAGAGGTCAGATTACAAAACCAAAATCAGCAGGCTCTCAGGGTGTGCATCCAGTATCCCGAATCTGCAAGCACTCCCAAATCCCCTAATCTAGTTGATGTCACAGAAAAGGAATGACATCCCTCAAACATGTCACAACTCACCAAAACAAATTACCATATGTTTAATGCAGCGTATGTTATTGACTAAGAGATCTTCCAAGGAAGACTTAACCTGGGTGTTTTTTAACTTTAGTGGGAAATTGCTGGAAGCACCAGAAACTTGTATGTGCTCTGTGGGTTTGCTCAGGTGAAGAGCTATCTGGGATGCAGACCAATAAGTAAGGGGTGGGCTATCAGAAAGGAGATAGTTGACATTTGCAGATGTCAGAGCAGAAGGCAATGTGACATAAAGCAGCGTGAGAGAGAATAGGGACAAATCTCCATCCACCCAAGAATAAATATTGATTTATGTATGTGTGAGACAATGGCATAAGGAGTTAATATGGTGACATGATCAACGTCAGTGTTACAAAATGTGTAATAAACCATCCCACGATCACAATTATGTAGGAGGGAAAATTGACCTGCAGCTATATCCCATGGAATAGTCACTCATTATTCCTGAAGCTTCCACTGGTGAAGGCAGATTAGATCCTAAACTGCTAATGAAAAGTCATGACGACATGGGGAAGCTATTTTTGTGTGCTGTTTACCTTTTCATCTGTTTATTCACTTATTTTGGATCTCTTTTCTTGTATTTCCAGGAGGAAGAAGAATGTATGACTGTCATAGTATTCTCTAGTAACATTGTTGAATATATGCCAGTTTATATGGTATTTAAGAACAAGTTTGATCAGAAACCTTAAACATGTACAAGTTAGCTTTTTATCACTCTAACATATATAAAAGAGCGTGTGCATGTTGTCTCCAATGTACACATATTCTTCAGAAATGGCTTTAAGATCCATAAGAATTTGAGAAATGGCTTTTTCAGTTATAACTAAAATTGTGTTCATTTAGCAGTTTTACTGCTTTGTCCCCATATTGCTTTCCCAGTGAAGCAACAAATATAAAAGTCTTTATTTCTGTGTTCCTTTAATACGTAAACGTGCTATTTTCCAGATTACCTGGGAGGTGGGCTACATAATTCTAGACATGCGATGAGTTCCATACCCCGTGGACTCAATGGACTATTTTTATTCTTGCAAATCCAAGGGTTTCCCTTACCATAGGTTTTGTGCACCCTTTTGAAGGTATAGTTCTGTCAGCTTATCACAACTGTTGAAAAGTTTTCATTTTTTAGGAAGGGGCATGCAAAACACAGACTAGTTAAACATCGTGAAATTTATGTCCTGCTGGTGCAAAGTGTGTGTGCACTCCTATCTGTGTATTTGTAATCATCAGCATTTTCATAATCCTGTACTGGGATGTGAATTTAGAATGTAAAGAAACAAATCCTACTGGTTCTGTAATTTTGTTTTAAGAGGAGGACTGTTCATCTAAAAACTACTGTAGATTTGAAAAGTCTTGGAACAGAAGTTAGGAAAGAGCTCAATTTACACAAAGGTTGCAACAGTTTGAAAAATCATTTCCTCATTTTTAAGAAATGTTAAGTGTCCTACATTGCTTCACGAAGAGGAGCAGACTTGGCAACATCCACGATGAGATCCGCTATGCTTGCGGTAGGTGACAGCACTGAACTTCTTTAAGCTTCTGTTAGCTAAGCAGCTCTCGAGCTAAAAACCAATGAGCAACTATTTATCTGCTTCCTGCCCCTGTCTAGGCTGAATCTTGGGAAGTATTCTGTATGCTGGTAATCTGTAATCCTTATCCATGTGTTCCATTGTCAGTGAAAACCGAGAGTTTGTCTTGCATTGTTCTGAATGAATAGTTTGTGAAGCAAAACTTGTTACATGTTGTACAACATAACGCTCAAAATAATTTCTTGTCAAACAATACTACTCTTTTCCATTTCTGGAGAAAACAGTGTAGCTTTTTTATTAGAAAAAAATGGATAAACTCAATATTACGGATTTCAGAGCACTGTTGCTGTAATTGTATCTTGGTAAATGTTAGGTATTGATACTTGTTTTGTAGTAAATTGAATCTGGTAGCAGTAACAGCATCCTTCACTGAGGTGAACATTCACAGAGGAGGTGGTCCTGCTGATGAGCAGTTTAACTGCTTAAAGTTTCAGTGATCCCAGTTGCTTCGTGTGTTGTGCATTGTGTTGTAGCCGAATCTTGCAGTACCCTTTTCCACATCTTCCATTTCATCCTGCCCTAGTGATAATAAAAAAAAAAAAAAAACAAACACCTTAAACTAATAGTATCTCATTTGCTTTAATAGTAGAAGTAGGAAATTAGTGTATAATTTTTTACAGTTTTTAAAAAGTTTTATTTAACATTCTTTATAAGTACAAATTATCGACTCAAAACAATTAAGAGTGAACTCACATGTATTTCCCACACAGACTTCACTCGTGTAAGTGGTCTAGGGAAAGGATTGTAGGTTATAAGAAAATATTGAAAGAAATGTTGAATGCTAGGAAAGCATCTCAGGCTGTAGGGATACCAAACTATTGTTATAAAGTGCTTTCAGAATCTATAGAAAAGCCATGGAATGCTCTTTTTAGAAGTTTGAGAAATAATTAGACAGTGTTTATTCCAAGATTGCATTAGAACACTTGATCCTGCTTCTAAGGAAGGGGGTAGGCTTGATTACTTGGACTTACTTCTATCATCTTCTTGAATCAATGACATGCAACAGCTGCTTTATAAAGTTGAACATTAAAAAAAGTGTTGATTAGACTCCTTGTCTTGAATTCTAGCTTGAAGTTACTCGTGGCTAGTTTAAACCCTCTTGCTATTGCTTTCACAATGCTCTCAAGTTTAAATAGTGTTTCTCTGGTATTTACTGTCATGGATGGCAGGAGAAACACATTGTATCTTCATATTGCTGATTTGCTTTACCAGTACAATTTTATCTCATTCATTAATGAACACATGAAGTGAAACAGTTCATAGGAGGATATCAGTGGTGGCCCAATTGCCATTCCTACTTTCAACATCTCCTGTTATCATCTCTCCTTTAGCCAGTAACTGCTCACCCAATATTTCTTGTTGTAATCTTTCTCTAGCATAATTATTTGTAATAGAGCATTACATCAAAGCCTGAGTTAAGCTAAATTAGATTTACTGCGTTTCCTTGATTTCCTTTGATGTTATCACTGAAATATTCTGCTTTATAGATTCTACATTTACTAGGTCCTAGTGGTATCATGCTACTATTGTACTGATAGAGCGTTTAAAGTCTTTACCAGAGTTTTGTTGCAATTTGGTGTTCCAATTCTTTCAAACTATTCATTCTAAAAATACTGGAGGGAATCAAGAAAACTGTTTTCCCTTTCTCCACCACCACCTCTACCACACCTCCCCCGCCCCATCTTCCTGTTGATTTCCTTTGCTTTATTTTATTTCCTAGGAAATTTCTTCCATATTTTCATCTTTTTACCTTTATACCTAGCAGTAGTAGGTTAATATCTCTAAGGTTAAAAATGCTTTTCAAATATTAACAAATACACTTCTGAGAGGCCACAAATATTATGTCAGTCTTTACAGGCCACCATCACCACCGTATACAGTAAGAGTTATGGCTTCAATACAAGTATTTACTTCTCTTCATACTGCTATCCTTAAGGCAGCTGACAGGTTCACAGCAAGGAATAGTGTCTGGTTTTCATCCAAAAATAAACAGCAATCAGATTTTTATTTAAAGTGCAAACACAGAAGGAAAAGATGCAGTTGACGTGAGGATACAGTCTTCAGTGCCTACGTGGCCATATTAAAGAAGGATCTGAATCTTTTATATTGATATAAGGAGATATTGCTGTGCATTAGAATAGCTCCCAAGCTTGATCTACTGGAGAATATTTAAATCATACCTTTCTCCTTTGATTTTTCGATTTGAGAAGTCAACTAAGCAATCTAGCAACAAGAAATATAAGAAAAATGTAAATAATTTTGTCAAATTATTGCAAAAATAATGTCTTATGTGGTTATATAGCTAGCCCAAGAATGAACCCTTTTGTTGTCAGTTGTGATGCACAAAAGAGAGGCAATTTGATTTTTTGAAAAAAATCATGATGCGCATTCAGAGACAGAGACGGGCTTTATGTTGCCCAGCTGTAAAAGGTAACGTAGAAAATAGTTTACAAACTTGACTGTATTTTTAGAGCACAAGAGGAAGAAGAAATTTAATGCATACATAAAGCTACAAAAGTTTCAATTACAATGCATACTTGTTATAAAGTATGCATCAACTTCTCTGGATTTTTTCTATAATGGATGTGATGGGGGGTGTCTAAAGGCTTTTGTGTTTTAATTAGCCGTTCTACATTACTCATTGGCTTCAACTGATCCATAAAACTAGATTAAAAATTAAACTTGTCTGTGACACTTCTTGCATAGTGTTTTCCCATTAATCAAAGTATCAGTTTGTAAATGGGGATGAGAAAAAGAGATTCAGCATATCCTAACTTTTGCCAATATGAGAAATAAAGCTGTTATTCAAAAAGTCTAGGCCTATGCATTCAACTCAAAATAGCATGATAGAATAAGTGTGTTTATGGATTTTTCTATTCTATTTTCCATTTTGTGGAAGATGAGAGTGTTTGGGGGAAAAAAAAAAATAAAAGTATCTTTATGAGATTTTGAAATTAAAGTTCAAAAGAATCCTGGTCCATTCTGGTATCAAAGCTTAATTTAATTGTCTTCTTCTAACCCATCAAATAACAAAAATAAGACATCTGTTCACTCTAACTCTTTGAGAGAAGAGCCATCTCCCTCATTCCCCTCCACTCCCCTTTTGTTAGGCAGGGTTGAGACACACAGAATTTTGACTGAATTTCTATCTCTAGCATGCCAGGGATTAGTGTAAGCCAGCATTTCAGAGTACTTTGTTGTTTGCTGAGTATTAAAATCCATACATAAAAGACCAGCAGAAGTAAGAACCGTACTGGACCTCTCAATAGTTTCATCAAGTCCTTGTCCTGCTCCTCGATCAGATTATAAAAATAAGTCTTATTAAAACTTGTAATAAAAGTTCAGTCTGATCTTCATATGTAATTAATGGAAAAACACATCAAGTTATCCTATGTCAACTATTATTTCTACAGTGCTCTTGTACAATCACATTGCTTGGGCTACTTGTGCAGAACATACAGATTTAGCTGCCCTACCCTGCTTTAAATTTTCAGTTCTGATATCTGGTTGCTCCTTTTATATCTCCTTGTGAATATCCAAGTATGTACAGAGAATTCTCGCTGAGTAGGCTAGCATGGTACAAAGTATACATTTTGGAATTCACAAAGTCACAAATGTCAACATCACAAATATTCTACACCCCCATGCTACATAAAAGAAAGCTTATTTGTGAGAATAACTGATTCTATTTTACAATCTGTTTCTTGGAATGCTTTAGATATTCTGTACTTTGGAAATAATGGAGCAAGTCAAAATACTGGAGAGTAACAGAAGTCTTCTAGTATAGGAAACCTTTGCTCTTCTAAGTAGTAAGGATAAAAAACTTTAAAGAAATACAGAGTGAGGTTCTGGCTCCTTTGTACACTGATTAGGTAAGATAGGTGTGTCGTTAAAATTAATTTTCAGTGACAGCAAAGCCCTCTTTCTCTCCAGAGCACATGAGAAACATTGATTAGAATTCTTTATCATAGTTGCTTTTAGGTAGCTTGCTGCATATGCTGAATTGCTGTTAGAACAGGTTCTATGGTATTTATTTAGGATAAGTCAGTCTCAATGGCGTCTTGTTACAGAATACTGCAACATATAGCAGCATGGGCCAGTCTCTGAAAAGAAATGTGTCGAAATCCTCTGCATTTCAAAATTAACTTTAATGTAATTCCAATCACGTGAGGTAGCAAGAGATGGAAAAGGAGGTTTTCTGCTTTTAAATCAGCTCCAAGATCTGTCAGTACATCATTTCTATAAGAGAAGAGGAAGGAAAATAAGCCATTACTGGTATGGTATGCAATTTTGCGTATCCTAACAGTTTGCTTTGTGCCTGTTTCTGAGGCTGGCTTTTCAAACTTGCAGTGTTCTGGTTAGATAAACTGCTGAGCACACGCAAACTCATTGGCAATTAAGATGTCCTTTGAGTATTTCTAAATGAGACAGCCAGTCCAGCACTGTAGGTATATTTTCACATGGTGCTTTGTGCGTTTCATCTTCTCTTGCACCTTCCCTCATCTGGCAGCCCCACTGCAAGCGGTGACTTGGAGCCATTCTACAAACCCTGTTGAAGGCTGAACGCGGCCTTCACAGACCAAAGTGTTTGCCAGGGGCTACTGTTCCAACCCATCGGTGCTGTCGTTAACACTGAATAGTCCAGGCAAGTTCTCACAGCTCTCAGTCAACATTTTGTATACTTGTGTTGGAGGTATATTTGTCACATCTGTATATTCCTCATTTCATATGAATACATGGGTGCTCCTGTCCATACAACAGCTTCAGAAAAAGCCAGGTCAGCTGATTTTATAATGGATCTGAAAGTTAACCTGATGGAAAGAAATCCTGAAGGAGTTATATGAAAATGATCCTGACCTTTGTTTGTGAAA